ATAATGGTTCTTTTATGTCTTTGTATACTGTCGTCCTTGGGTATGTGCCATCAGGTGTCAAGTCACTGTTGACTCTTAGGGACCGCATAGATGGATTTCCTCCAGGATGTTCTGTCTCCAACCAGGTCCTTCAGGTCTCCCAACAGTGGCCCCATTACCACTGTAACTGAGTCCCTCCACCTTGCTGCTGGTCGTCCTCTTCTTCTCTTTCCTTCCACTTTTCCCAGCATTATGGGGGAGATGGGCAGCATATAAATTTAATAAATAAATAAATTATGGGCTTCTCAAAGGAATTTGGTCTTGACATTGATTGATTGATTACGTGCTGTCAAGTCACCGTTGACTCTTAGTGACCATACAGATAGATATTCTTCATGATGATCTGTCCCTGACCTGGTCCTTCATGTCTTCCAACAGTGCCTCCATTGCCCCTGTAACTGAGTCCATCCACCTTGCTGCTGGTCATCCTCTTCTGCTCTTTCCTTCTACCTTTTCCAGCATTATGGACTTCTCCAAAGGAAGTTGAGAAGTTTGCATTGATTGATTGATTATGTGCCATCAAGTCAGTGTCGATTCTTTGTGACCACATAGATGGACCTTCTCTAGATGCTCTGTCCTCAACCTGGCCCTTCGGGTCTTCCAATGGTGCCCCCATCGCCACTGTAACTGAGTCCACCCCCCTCGCTGCTGGTCCTCCTCCTCTTCTCTTTCCTTCCCCTTTCCCAGCATCAGAGCCTTCTCCAGAGAGCTGGGCCTTCGCCTCGTGTGTCCGAAGTAGGATAATTTGAGCCTGGTCATTTGCATTGTCAGCCTCCCTGGGAGGATTGCTGTTTTTCTGCCCGTGATAAATGTGATAAGGGCTCCTTTGGAAAACTAAGTTTAATGCGCTGTCCAGCTCTTCGCATGGTTGTGGGTTTCAAAAGTGTGAAAGGCTGACTGTTGTTACCAGTGTTGTTTGAAAGAAAGATTGGCTGGGTTTGCCCAGTGCCCCAGACTAGGCTGAAACGGAGTCGGGCTCTGGGCGTGGTGGGACGGTCCTGCCTGGTTTTGACTTGTGGGCTGAACTTCAGTCATCACTGGTTGATTCAGGGAACAGAACAAATATACCATTCTATTTTCTTAAAAACAGATTTGTTTTGGGAACACAGTAGTTGTTTTTTGTTAGTCCAAGTTGAGCACGTTGTGCGAACCCAGCGATGAAGCAGCCGTGTATAAAAAGAAAAAGCGGCTGAAACTGCCCCGAGCGTTACATGTTTAGCTCAGCCTGACATAGAGTTCAACAGGTAACGTTCCCTTTGTTCAGTTGTTCAAAGCAGAGGAACAGGGCCAGTAAAGCTGTTGGCGACACCTTAACCTGGGCTTGGGGAGACAGTCCTGAGGTGCCCTGGAGCAAATGGGCCCGACGAGGCTTTCAAGAAAGAGACGAACCGTGGTCGGAAGTGGCCTCTTTCAGAGGGCCGGAGGAGGAGGCTCCGCCCAAAGTCACGTTCAGGAGTGAAATACTTTCCATGCATGCCAATAAAACCATTGGTTAAAATACAAGCCTAATCGTTATTGTAGTATTTCGGTGTGGGCATTTTATGCGCAAAGAATCCAGAAGTGGGAAGAAGGAGGGGCCTCCACAGGAAGCGTGAAAAAAGTCAAGTCAAAAGTCACTGAAGTTGTGTCCCCTTTTTACTTGTGTTTTATGGGACTGGCAGAAACAATGTGAGAAATAGCCAGGCCCTGCGCCCTGAAGGGCATTATATATATCAAAAGCAGCCCCTTGAATTGTACCCAGAAATGTACTGGTAACCAGTGCAGTTTGCAGAGCAGAGACGTGGTCGTATATGCAGACGTTTGCCCATAACTGCCCACTTCCAAGGGGTCTCTGAGGGCAGCCCTACGTAGAGCTTGATGTAGTCATCCACGTGCAAGGTGACTACGGCTGTGAGTCCAGGAGGACCTCCACGTGGTGCACCAGCTCTATCTGGAAGAGTATTGCCCTGCTCAAAATCATTCTGCTTCTTACAAAGTGAGCTTGGCCCAAGAACGTCTCGGTTCAAATCTTTTCTCTGCCATGAATTCCTTTGGTGTCAGACAAGTCTACATTTGCACCAAGAAACGACTGTAATCTGGGCTACTCTACGGGACTCCTCAAGGAGCAGGCAGAAAGAAAGTGCTTTGAACATTGAAAAGCACTCTGTATAAATACAACGTGATCATGTGGGACTTTTTACAAAAGTTAAAAGCAGCATCACTGTGTGGAGTTTGCTCCTCCTGAGCACAACTTTGGACATAATTCTCCCAATCTAGCTGTGCTGTGTAAAATAGTTAGGAAGGGCAGACTAGTCCAGTGTGTCTCAGCCTCAGCAACTTTAAGGTGGGTGGACGTCAACTCCCAGAATGCCCCAGCCAGGCATTCTGGGAGTTGAAGTCCACCCACCTTAAAGTTGCTGAGGCTGAGACACA